ATGCAAGACCTACTCAAATCCCTCCCTGAGGGAACTGTATTATGAACTATCCACAAGCTGGTGAGGTCAAATACTTTTGAACCAATCTGAACTGCTGAGGTATCTCTCAGTGATCGTAGCAATGCAGCTCTGCAACAGCTGTTTTACACCTCTGCCATCACGAGGTGCGCAGAATATTTGACTGCAGAAGGCACCTCACCTTGGCAGTATGCACTGACAGCAACTACAGACTGTTTAATTGTGGACACAGACACTTCGATAACTGCAGTCCCACTTGCCTCAGACACTTCCCTGGAGCAACTTTTTACTGGGACTGTTGTAGAAGTATTGGCTGTTACTTGTCCTCATCTACCACTTGCAGCCAAGTGATGCTCATGTATCAAGAGCTTCCTGCATCCAGCTTTCTCATAACCTGATGCTTCTCCCGTAAGTTATACCATCAAGTGCCATTCACAGACTCCAGTTCTGGTGTTTGTTCTGAAAGGACGAGGGCCAAAAAAATGCTGTCACGGCACTGCATGGTGCACCACAGCTTCTAAACAGGTTAAGACCATCTACAAGGCAATTTCTGTCTGTAGGATGAAACCATGACAATCTGCATGATACTCTCATGCAAATCAGAAATTTTATTTTATAGTAAGACCTTCTACAAACATGCAATTGTCACAGTTTGGAAAAGTAGGTAGCATTCTAACCCACAGCAGTATCAGAGTGGAAACAGCAAAAATACAAAGAACGTAAAATAGCTGTAAAGGGAATCTTCAGATCAAAGAACTTTAGCTCTCAAATTAATGCAGGGGACCATGCATCCATCCCCCATTACCACTGTCTGCCAGGTGACCTGCAAGAGCCTGAAGGCATTCTCAGGGTTACCATGCTTTTTGTGCTTCTTCACTGAGACACTCCACTCCTGTTAGAGGACTCTGGTTGCAGGCATGGCAAATTACGCAAGTAACCAGGGAATTCTCTCAGAAAATCTTTATTATTCATGTTTAATAGCAGAATGCAGTTCACTGCTTTTCAACTGCAATTACGAACTGGCAGAGCCAGGAAGATGGTAAAGCAGAAACTCCTGACTATGGGAATCAGATGATGAGCAGACAGGAGAGTGAGATGACAACTGAAATTGTCCCCACTTCGTCCCTGCACGTATGAATTCAGCAGTGAGTTACTGGGCAAGATTAAAGGGTAGATGACCCTATTTGTCTTAACTGCTTGAGACAACAGATGCTCAGAATAATCATTCAAATGAAGAAATACGTTGGCACTCCACAAAAATGAGCTGGAAGGCCTTGAAACTTGATTAAACATCTGAACTACAAGCCAAAACATAGCTAGGAAGAGCCAGGACAAAACCAAGCAGATTCTTTGCAGCAGTGAGGTTCATGGCAAAACAAGAGGCCTTACCTTGGAGCTCTGGAATGGAGACCCCCAGCTCTTCTAGTTAGTTCTTCCAGGACAAAGTGGTCATACTCCTTGTATCTTGTTGCTCTCCAGGATTTCTGGTGAGTATTGATAGCATTTACAAAGTCAAAGTTGTGCAGATAACGTCTGCTTGAAAGTCTGCAAACGAAAGCAACCAAATAAAACAGTAAGAAAAAGACTGGGATTGAAAAGTAAAGGTGTTCTCTAAACTGAATATGGAAAAGACTAACTCTGGAAGTGTCTTCTGGTAGGTACTAACAAAGAAGCATGCAATTATTGGATCAAGACAAGGTTTCTGAAATTTGAGACAGACTAACTAGAAGGATAAAATCATCTTCTTTAGACATGCCAGTTTTTTAATTGGGCTTCACCACAGAGCAAAGGAGAAACTGTGTGATGTTACGGGCACACCCTCCTCTGACGTTCTGCATTCTTGTTTATGCCCAACATTATCACTGGCATTAACGTCGCCCTAACAGAATTGGTCCACATGGTTTTACCTGAAACCCAGTTACCAAACATTTTATTCCAGTAAAAGGTCACTTATCTGTTGCTTACCTTCCCCTGGGCTTCTGGAGAGGCAGCTCATTTATGTGAGCATCTGAGGGAGATGACGAAATCTTCTGTCCTCTGAAACAAGCCCAATTGTGGCCAAGGACATCATGTACCCATCCTGGTAGAGTCTCATTACAGTAACTGGTTACATTCTGGCCTTCCTGTTTGTACTGTAACGTGAAGAAATTATGATTATGTTGAGTAGATGCATTTGTTAGCATCACAGTAATCCCTACCCACCCAGCTGCTTCTTGCTTGTGTTCCAATAGGAAGTGGCAAAACGTATATTCCAGATCAACCAGCATCATGTTTGATTTCAAAACAAAGAAGCATTAAGAAAAGGTTAATCAGATGAAACAAACTGATCTTTCTCAAATTCCTAGAGGAAGACAAACAGGTTATGACCTGCACTTTTAGCAATAAAGCATGCATTAGTATCAGTATCAACTAACAGGTAATTGCCTGGGTTCAACAGTTACTTTCTAGGCAAAATATGAAAGGCCTCAGTACTTAACCTTCTCTCCAAGGCCCTGTGGTTTCCTGCATCAAATATATGACTAGTCAAACTAACCCTGGACTGCTGCAAAAGTTTGAGAAACTAAGACTCACAGCAGCATGAAAAATAAACACAGGGAGGATGGCAAGTTTCTCACCCTGTACTCTTTCAGGAAGAATTTTACTGTAGCATTTCTGTTTTACAAGTCAGAACTGAAGACAAGACTTCATGCAACTGTAAGTTTGAGCTGTGGTGGAAGAGCATCAAGAAACCATTTCATAGAATCATAGAATAGTTTGGGTTGGAAGGGACCTTTAAGGGTCATATACTCCAAACCCCCTGAAATAAGCAGGGACATCTTCAAGTAGATCAGGCTGCTCAGAGCCCTGTCCAACCTGACCTTCAATGTTTCCAGGGATGGGGCTTCTACCACCTCTCTGGGCAACCTGTGCCAGTGTTTTGCCACCCTCATCAGAACAAGTTTCCTCCTTATATCCTATTTAAATCTATCCTTTTAGTTTAAAACCGTTACTCATTGCCCTATCACAACAGGCAATTGCCCCCACCTTTCTTACAGGCCCCCTTTAAGTACTGAAAGGCCACAATAAGGTCTCCCCGGAGCCTTCGCTTCTCCAAGCTGAACAACCCCAACTCTCTCAGCATGTCCTCATCAGGGAGGTGCTCCAGTCCCCAACCATTCTTGTGGCCCTCCTCTGGACCTGCTCCAATAGGTCCATGTCTTTCCTGCGCCAAGGACTCCAAAGCCAGACACAGTACTCCAGGTGGCGTCTCACCAGCGCGGAGTACAGGAGGGAGAATCACCTCCCTCGACCTGCTGGCCACACTTCTTTTGATGCAGCCCAAGATACAGTTGTCCTTCTAGGCTGCGAGCGCACAGTGCTGGCTCATGTCCAGCTTTCACCCACCAGCATGCTTAAGTCCTTCTCTGCAGGGCTGCTCTCAATCCCTTCATCCCCCTCCTGTATTGATACCCCAGGGTTGCCCTGATGCAGATGCAGGACCTTGAACTTGGCCTTGTTGGACCTCATGAGGTTCACATGGTTCCACTTCTCAACTTGTCCAGGTCCCTCTGGTTGGCATCCCGTCCCTCAGGCGTATCAACTGCATCATCCAGCTTGGTGCTGTCTGCAAACTTGCTGAGGGTGCTGTTGATCCCACTGTCTATGTCACTGATGAAGATATTAAACAGCACTGTTCCCAGTACAGACCCCTGAGGGACACCACTGGACACTGATCTCCATCTGGACATCTTGACCACTACCCTTTGGATGTAGCCATCCAATCAATTCCTCACCCACCAAACAGTCTACCCATTAAATCCACCTCTCCAATTTAGAAAGAAGGATGTTGGGGGGGACCGCTTCAAAGGCCTTACAGAAGTCCAGACAGATGACATCTGTAGCTCCTCCCTTGTCCACTGATTTAGTCACTCCATCAGAGAAGGTCACTAGGTTGGTGAGGCAGGACTTGCCCCTGGTGAAGCCATGCTGGCTGTCTCAAATCACCTCCCTGTTCTCCATGTGCCTTAGCAGAGCTTCTAGGAGAATCTGTTCCATCTTCCCAAGCACAGAGGTGAGGCTGACAGGTCGGTAGTTCCCAGGGTCCTCCTTCCTACCCTTTTTAAAAATGGATGTAACATTTCCCTTTTTCCAGTTGACAGGGACTTCACCTGCTATGACTTTTCATGCCATGAATTTCACCTGAACTATCAGAGACAATAAGAAACGATGATCTATTGATAGCAATTCATCTGAAGTTGATGGCAAGGGCAATGTTACTCAAGTCTCAACTTCCAAGTCCTAATACTTCCTTATTCAGCCATACAAGTCTTCATTTTACCACTGAAGGGGAGTAATAAATTAATCTACTCAGTAAAATGTGTCTTCATACACGTTAGAACTACCACTTTGCCCAGCTCTAAGTTTCCTGGATTAGCAATTCTTTGACAGCATAATGTCCCGGGGTGGGGGGGTGGGGGGGTGGGAAGGACGATCTTTACTCATCTCTTAAGGTTAAAGTCTGTTTTATATTAAGCTACACAGGAGCCTGAAAACCCCATGCAACAAAAGCTTTAACTTGACTCTTCTAATCACACAAATCACTTAAACAGAATCCAAGTTTCCTAGTCCAACAATACTTTATTAAATCCCACCCCATTCAGGTTGCACACGTACAATGGTACAGGGATTTTGTAGCTATGTTCAGCCTCTTCACTGAAGAAGGCTTACAGTGATGGAGGAAATGCCTCAAGATGGAAAATAAATAAAGAGACTGGGAGGTTTGTGACGATGTCAAGAGTCTGTGGGGAATCTGCAGAAGAACACACAGTGAAATAATTAAGCCTATCAGAGGGATAAAAGCAAAAGCTAACCCTCTGACTGCTTTAGAACAATAGGAATTTGCTTTGCCCCTAGTCTGGAGGTTGCAGAGGTATCACATCTACAGTCTTGCTTGCCTAGCAAGGCAAGCATGTTTGCTGATCAGAGCAGGACGGGGGCACTAGAAGGCTGAGCTGTTACCTTCTGCTCTTCATCCTACCTTACTGTGCAAGATTGTGCAATGTGGGAAACAACTACACTTGGCCAAACACCAAAAGCGAGGTCCAGAAATGACTTTTGAGAAACACCCTTTTCACAATAGCACTGCTAGAAATCCAGACGCTACCAAAAACAACAAGTTACTGCCCTTACATCAGTAAGTTACTGTGAGCGCTTCATTTGGCTCTACATGATAGTGTAAATTAATACCTACCTGTCTTTTCTATCTAAAAGCTGCCACAGATTAAAACAAGACCAAGAACCACCACTCTTGATAAGTATAGGCCTTCAATCTCCACACTTGATGCTTACTCAAGAACAGGCCTGCTTCCTGCAACAATCAGATACAGATCCTGCCCAGCATGGACAGTTATAGTGAACCAAGTCAAGCAGAACAGATTTGGGACTTAACTCATTGCTTTTTTTCCATGAAGATGTCTGCTAACCAGCAAATTCATACAACTCGCCTTTCTTTTTTCCTAGAAAGCCCTCTCTTTTCTGGAGATGAAGCTTTTTATAAGATGTAGATAGATAACCAGAAGAGTATTCACATCATTCGTGCAACTTTTGTTTCAGGAAAGTGAATTTAGCAGGTTTCTTATGCTGCTCTTCCAATTCAAATGTATCAGCAAAACTAGGAAGAAGGTGAGGGGACAGTCAGTGGCAATGCTTCAAGATAAACAAGAGACAAAAGCCAATTTCGGATAGTCCGTGTAGAAGAAGTAAAATTAAGCAATTCAGGTCCTCTGTAGCTACCTTTTTGTCGGCTGGCAGACTGTAAGCTACTACTGAACTGGCTTTGAAAAGGGGACAGGGAGACTGAGACCACAGCCCACCGATTACATCTGGATAAACTGAATTTCAACTCCAAAAGCCGTTTTTAGCTAGGAAATCAAAACACACCCATAAGGTTCCAATTTGCTTTATTCCCTCTCCACCTTAATAGAGAGCCACTGGTATAGAAAAGTGGCAGAGAAGCCTTTAAAACACCCAATACTTACGCTTAATATCTACAAGCTAGTTAAATCCCCAGTGAGCTGCATGTCAGAGGAGCTAAAGTGGGTCAGCAAAGTCACGGTGCCATGACAATTACACCCACTGCTTACTACCAGAAGGTACACTGTCAAATTAGTATTTCATCGCTAAAATCACATGCAGCATTTCTTATCATGACCACAGAAGGGCTGATTTGACTACAGCAGTTTTAAAGGACCTACTATGAGTATGTCTGCCCAATCAACAGTCGTACAGGGGCACCACTGCATGAACAATTGCTGCCTCAGGTAGATGCAAATCACAAAGCCCAACTCAACTGAGGCTGCCAACACAGTACCCAGGACATCTGCAGTATTAAGTAAACTCCATCCAGTGACCTGACCAATCTGGAGTAACTCCTACAGAAAGGCACCCAAACTATAGTCACAGTTCAAATTCTGAGGTTTGAAAACATTAACCTTAAATTCTATTTCAAATTCCTTTTTCTCAAGTCTGACAACTCATGTGACTTTGCCTAATACCAGAATTTAGCCAAGCAACTCCAACATCAACCTTAAAAGGCTCCATGTACCTAAGTTTCAAGGCTTGCTTAGATACATGAACCTAGGTAAACTTTTGGTGCAGTATACATTTAGTAAAGTCTTTCCTGTGTTGGTCATCAGGACATAATCTAATTGTATGTTCAATTCTAGTCCTGGTAAAAAAATGTCATTGTTTAAAGCTTTCTTTAAATTTTTAATCTCCCTAAAAGGAAAGCAAGAAAGAATGGAGCCCTTATTGGACACACCATTTTCACAGGGATTCAGCAGTGCTACATACACTGGGTACCATCCCATCCTCTTTTACATCTATTGTTCTCAATTTAAGCAGTGCTCAGGCAATAAGCAAACTCCAGTTCCAGAAGGCTACCCTATACAGTAAGCCTGGTGGAAAGACTTAGCACTCATTTGTCATCAAATTTACAAGTGTGCCTATGCATTTTAGTATGGGAAGCACACTAATTAGAAGAGGATTTCGGATTTGCAGATGCCCTATTGTACAAAAATACAGATTATATCAGAACAAGTAACTGCATCTTGCTACCCTACGCAAAGTGTAAGCAAATATCAACTACAGATGTATCTTCTTTCCTCTAGGGAACAATCTGCAATTCAGAGATTTATGCTTTCAGGTTTACACTTTAGGGAAGCAGCAGTTGCACGTTGCCAGTTAAGTAAGCCCAACTAAGATAGCTTAGAAATTATCTTCCAATTGATTTGCAGGACGATTAAATAGCATTAGCAACCCTAACACTTCTATTTTAGCAACACTGAATAAAATTAATTCAGATTTTTCTTTTTAATATTCTGAAATTTAAACATTAACTACTGTCACTGGTCTAGGCTGGTTATTTCAAAATAGAAGTCCTTGGTTTTAACCAAATTTGGGGCACTGGGAAAGAGGAAAAAACGTGACAAAGATGTCACCAAGTCAGCCTGGAAAAGATTAGTAACTTGAGTAGTGGAATAGTCTATAATCTATTTCTTACTTTTTGGGAAGTAGTGCTAATGTTTTAGTATGAAAAAGTGCCAGACTTCTGGTTTTCGCTAGAGGACATCTGAAAACTCAGAAGTAGTGCCGCTTAGCTTAAGGGACAAACAGTGAGAATCTTACGAGACTGTCTCCCTTCAAAGTGGTAGTCTTAACATTAAATAAATATTACAAAGATATCAAAGAATTGAAACAAGTTAGCCTCAACTTCCCTTTCAGCCTCACTCCAGCTTTTTGTTAAAATCTTTAAAGCCTTAAATCTTACTGGAAATTTCTGTAGCCCTACAGAACCCTACCATCCAGCACAATGACATGCTCAAGCTTCTGGCAAGAGTCAGTACACTAACTTCACATCCAAGTTCAGTAGGGATGTTTCAGCAGCACACATTAATTAAGAAACGAGCAATGCCATAAAACCAACAAGTTATTTTGTGCTGCAAATGAACACCAGGCAGAGTAACTACAACTTGCGAGAAGCGAATGCAAGAATGCAGTAGGAGCCTGCATTTAACTTCGCAAGCCTTGAGGGACAACTCTACATACAACAATAGAAATAAAACACTGCTAGTGCTTCTTTACTTAGGCTATTAAAGCAAATGGATGAAAAAAAATACATTGATAAGCTCATCCAATCCACCCCTTCGGTGGGGGAAGTAATTTCCCCACGGTCCTCAGGTAAAAGAACAAGTAACGAGGCAGTGAGGCTCTATGAAAGGTTTAGTGGGTGTCTGTTTAGTAAGCCACAGGAACAAAAGGCTATTAAAAACTCACTGAAACATGCATCACCATCAAACAGGCCGTGTCTACATCCACACAGTACAGTAGCTCTGATAAAGCCACCACTTAGACAAGCCCACAGCATTCTTGTCAGTAATTAATAGCTTCATTCTTTAACATTAAACAAAAACACACTGGAAGTTCAATTAGCACCCATTGCACTTCTATGCTTGAAACACATCAACTACTGCATTGGCTTAAATCCTGCTGTTCATTTTGCCTAGAAACTCCATCCTTTCTGTTCAATAGCAGAACATGAGCAAAGTGTTAAAGCATCAGAGAAGGTAAATCAGGATGCTTTATCTGACCCGTCACCATGATGGTGCTTCAGACACATAATTTAATGTCAGTGCAAGATAAACAGAACTTGAAATATATGAGCAGCCTTTTAAGCAATGAATGCTTTCCTGACAAGCCCAAACCCACAGCCACAGAAGTAGATGCTCAAGGCTTTCTGTGTTATGGCTGTTCCATCACCATGAACTCCAGAAAAGCATTCATATTGGAAGGTCATTTCAGAGTGAAACTAAGTACTTTTACCAAGTAGTAAAACAATATCAAATTACCCCATATCAAACACATTAGTTTTGTACCTTCTCTCTGTAAAGCAAGAGACTGCCAGCGAAGACAATTCTTCCTTTCCATGAATTCCAAAGGGACTTTGCCTAATGACTTTCCATATTCTCAATAGCAATCAAGGCTAAGTAATGTCCAAAGAGATTGCTTTTATGCTTTCCTCTTGCTGCACTTCCAGGAAGGAAGGCCCTCACCAATTAGCATTCTAGTTCACCCTATTTAACTCCAAGGGCTTCCAGACTATGACCAATACTAAGCAAACAAAGTCTGCTATGTTTACGGTACTTTCAGGTGCAAATGGTAGGAGTATTTTAAACAATAGGCAATCATTCTTCAAAAACCTCCGATAGAAGAAACCATATTCTTATTTTATACCAGGACTAACTAGATATTTTTTATTTCTACTTCATATGTAATACAACATGTACTGGATTAAAAGTAAGCAGATATGCAAATCTAAACATGTCACAAGGTCAAGCAGTTCGTAAGGAACCACTGCTTCCCAAGTCCCCACTGACAATTGTGAAATAACAGTTTTGAAGACAGACAGCATTGCAAGTTGTTGCCTAACAAAGCCAACTAGCTGTCTGCAGCAAAAAATGCATTTACTAAGTGCTTCTTGGCCATTATACTTGCATCTTGGTAACCTGTTGCTTCCCTTACAGCAGCAAAATTATAGAGAGGGTTACTGAATCGGGCTCTAATCCTCTCTAATATTTAAGGAAAGAAGCCTTTCATTTAAGCATGTCTTGCTGATGGATTCCCTACTACTGAACAATGAGCCACACAAGCTTGCTATTTCTAAATACTAAAAGCAACTGCAAAACTAACAATTAATCTATTTGCCTACAAGGGCTAATACACATTCATGACCATGAAATGCAAGCTATCATGCACTGCTACTGCTCAGGTGTATATTCAACTTACTTTGTTTTGAGCAGCAAGTTGGATCAGATGACTTCCAGAAGGTCCTTCCAGCCTAAATCATTGATATTTTCACAAGCACAGAGGAATACAGACATCAGCACTTAGCAGTCACTTGACTTAGCGCTCGTCTTCCAGGATTTCACAAGTTATAGACAGCAGCAGTAGAGCCTTCAGTGACTCTCAACTGTCTTCAAGTTGGTGTCTAACAGCTCCATTTATATTCCAGGGCAGGCCACTCACTGTTTCTATGATTAAATTCCTCACATTCAAGAATTAGTTTGATCAACAGTGTTGAATCAACACTTGTTTCAACTGCTCACCATACTGGCTTGTAAAGCAACTCTGCATTTCAGTGTAATACATCAGCCTAAGGATTCCCAGTCCACTATATTCTCAACTACATTCTCCTCAGATGAGTCCACCACAGCAAGCAATGACTGCTGAATTCCACCTGCCAGAGATGGCCCCTCAAGCCTGAGTTCATGGACAATACTATGACATACACTGCTCCACTGTACTCACGGAGGCAGCAATTCCTGCCACTTGAGGCAGGCCCTCCCACTGTTGGGAGCTCACAGAGGTCTCCCTCCTCCAGAAGCTTCAGAGTAATTCTGCTTAGTTAGAGAACCCTTCAGCATCTGTAGTTTTTGCTGTATCACCTGCCAAACCTAGGAGGAGCGCACATCATTTTTGTAAAACCACCTACACAGCCCTTTCCCTTAACTTAAGTGAGCTCTAATCAGCACGGAGGAAGCTGCAGTTAAATCAGAGCCTCATACATCATTTCTGTTCAGTAAGGATGTGTGCATCACTCACTTTTGTTAACATCTGAAAACACTGACTTGAAAACAGCTGCTGTGAAATAAGCCATCTCCAATGGCTCGCAAAAAGACAATTTAAAGCAAAAGCCATTTCTTCACCCTCCTCGCTACCTAGCCAAGGTACTACCTAGCTGAACATAGCCAAGGTTCAGACTTACGCTTGGACAAGGCCTGGGTGTTTACTATCAGCTCATCTGAAGCCAGATACAGTATCATGCTTCCTGAAACAATCAATAAACATGTTCACTGCTCCTGCCTAGGGCTGCACTCACCAACTGAGCAGTCTTGCTGCACAAAACATCTGTCTCGCAGGTAGCAAAGTCATCCTGCAGAGATTGCTTCAAGCCACCCTCCAGATTCGTAAAGCCACTCATCTGGACAGAAGCAGAGCGCTGCTTAGCACGTGTTTTTCTCCTGCCTACCAGCACTGTTTTCAGCTTGATCTGAAGTCATTAACAGGGACTGGAGATAACAGTACTACTCGAAAAGAACAATTATAGGCAGCAGGAAGGTTCCTTAGATATCAGTGTTCTGGAATAAAATTTAAAGAACCTAGAAATCCTCCAGCAAGGAGAGCAGATGGCCTTTCTAAAGTTTTCATGCATTTGAGAACATCTTTAAGGAAAGATAAAAGCAATGATGTTTGCTATTTCACTTGGTTTAAGCATGCCCAGAAGGGAAAAGAGCAGCATCTGTAACACATTTTTCAGATAATGCCCAGTATGGAATACAAATACATCTTCCCTCCCTCTGCTCCCTACCCAGCCGCTGATAACTCTGATAACTCTTTCCTTACGTCAAAAAAAAAGCCCTGTATCTGGTAAACCAGGCAAACCTTAGAGCCAAAGATAACCAAGTGCCCCAGCTGCCCCACTATAGGCCATTTTAGCAACAGTCAGTGATGCAGAACACACCAAGTTAACTCACATTAAAAAACGCAAACCACTTGTAGTCATTTAACACGATTTCAAAGCCTTGATTGTAGATCAAAGTGAAGAAACCGTAGTTGCCCAGACTATCCTGAGCCACATCTAACTTCTGAAGATTCACAAGCACCTTTCTTTCCACAGGCCCTGCAAGAAATACAGACATTATTGTATGATTATTGCGTGGAAGAGATAAAAATAAAAAATTGTTACAAAGAATGTTTTAACATTTATTTTATTCCAAAAGACACACTTGTTGAATAGTCTTCTGCAAAAAGGCATGAAGCGAACACACTTCAGGGACTCCACTCACCTGTCAGCAGGTCTACATGCTCATTTTTTCCACTGCTAGACAGTATTTGCATATTTAATTAGCAGCAGCACTGAACAGCTGTTAGTGAGAACCATCAGCTTATTTAAAACATAACTTGCTCTACAGCTGCACAGGACTTAAGACACTGTGTCACACAGGCACTGTGTCTACAATGACAAATCTTTCACTAAATCACCTGGGACAAGATATTGGCCACCCCACGCTCCTTCACATCACTGCCCTGCCTCCCTCCACCACTCACCTCCCTTCCACTGCTCCTACTGCCACTCACCTCATCTGATCAAAAAGCAGAAGAGTGCAGAGTATCTACTATTTTATCTTTTTTAAATAATAATGGCACGCAATAATTAAACAGTAACTCCCCACCACTATCATCCTCTGAAGGGAAGTGATATTTCTATTTCTCCTGATGCTACCAGGCTCGCTGGGCAGCAGGCTCTGGCAGCCGCCGGCCGCCCCGGAGCGGGCTGGGTGTCCCCCCGAAGCAGCATCACGCTTTGCTGCTGGGCAACAGCCACGTTCAGGACAGGCTGAGCTGAAGGGAAAGCACCTGCGGTCTGTGAGAGAGGAAGAAATGAACCGGCATGAGCCGGTGGTGCTCATGAAGAGGCCTAGTCGAGTCCAAATCGAAACGAACCAACAATAAAATACCCCAAAAACTGAATGGAAGAGTAACAGCGCTGCCCGCAGTGATCACTCGGAGCCAGACTAACGCGAGTGCTTCACGTTCCTAAACCCCACTTCACCTTTTT